GTGTGTCTGTGTGTGTGTCTGGGTGTGTGTGTGTGTCTGTGTGTGTGTGTGTCTGTGTGTGTGTGTCGTCTGTGTGTGTCTGTGTGTGTCTGTGTGTGTCTGTGTGTGTCTGTGTGTGTGTGTGTTGTGCGTGCTGGTGTGTGATGTGTGTGTGATGTGTGTGTGTGTATGTATATTGGTGAGTGTTGGCATGTGTTGGGGTTTGTTTGTGTGTGTGTGTGTACATCCTGTGAGCCAAGACACTAGGTAACGATTGGAAGTAATCGAAAGTCATCTCAGCAAGGGGCCCGCGGGCTTGCTTTCTGGCGTTTGCCAACGAAGCTCCAGATTGCAGTCTACTTGTAGGATATGTAAACGGGACGCCATCATCACGTACCTGCTTGTACAGATACCAGTGTCAAGAAGCGGAATTGCAATTGCAAGGGAGGGTTTGCAGGTGTGTACGCAGTCAGGAAAGAAGGACCCAGTATTCGGAGTGCAAATCTGCACAAAAGTCGTGCTCCAGGCAGCATTCGTTTATTTCGCTGTCTGCTCCAGGGTTGCCCGGATATAGTATGGTCATGGCAATGACCGAGTCTGTTCCCTGATCGGAACACCTCGACCAAAGTCAGTCACCCTGGATTCAATCAGTTTTCCGAACAGAACTTTAGACTCTCGCGACTCGGCAATGCAGGCGAGGTTGGTCAGGACTTTAAGTGAGTTGACGCACAGTCAGATATACGGCGTGTTTGTCATCCGAGAGTTGCGACTGAGCTGTGGTTTTTGGGATTGATTGAGCAGTGCGCTCGAGCATAACTGTGAGTAGTCTGAACGCTCTATGTGGCTGGCAAACATTTGCCATGTGGCGCTCAGATTCCAATCCGTGGTCAGCAACAGGAGGTTGGTCGTGCGTGTTGTGTGTGGTGTGTTCTGTGTGTGGTAGCGTGGTGTCGGTGTGTATCCGCCCCCTCCCCCATATGATAGACCATCCGTTTCAGCAAGCCGTTGCTGCCGAAGTAAGAAAGCCATGTGTCCACCAGTTTTCTCACCCCCCTCTGCACGATAGTCTGACGGGTGTCTGACGGATTGTACATGCGGTCTTCTCACAGCCGAGCTCCGGGCATAATGCCTTGATCACCTGCAGGACTGGCCCCTGCGCCGCTCCGTCGACAGTCCAGCTTTTCAGGTTTGGATGGCTTTGGATCAAGGCTTCCAGCGGGTCATAGGCTCAGAACGACTTCGGTCGGGCTTGCGAATCAAGGACTTAAAAGAGCGAGGGTCGAATTGCTGCGCGTAACTTGGATCTCCAATCACGGCTTTGGGGCCGTCAAGGACGAGGCACTCAGGGCATCGCGTTTGAGCCCTGCTCAAGTAGAACTCAAAGCAGTCTTGGTGTGTGCATTGAGAAATTGGGCTGCTCAGGACTACCAGTCTTTAACCAACCCGGAGCTGGCCAGAGCCGCGCCAAGGAAAGCTGCTGCATGCTCGCGGAAGTCAGCGCTTGCTAGAGAGGTGGTCGAGACATGCAGCTAGCATGCGCACAAAACGGCCCACGGCCACACCTGCCACGTTCACTGCATGTCTTGCTCGAACCTTTGCCTCTACTACATCCTATCACAACTAGAGATGCCGAAGAAAGCCTAGCTAGACCTCCGATGCCTAAAACTTTCATAAGCATACATCCCCGAGCCCTGCAACATGGAATCTGAGAAGGCAGCCTCGGCTGGCACTCTCGACGGAGGATGTCAACTCGGATGTCTGGTAGACTCTGCTAATGAAGACTTCGAGACTACCATGAAAATGCTGGCGCGATGGTAGGGGCAATGATGACCTCATCGTCATCGTTAGCATCATGCTCTTCCTTCTCGGTGCTACTGTAAGTCAGCTAAGTGTTCAGCATCAAGCGGTTCAAGATGTTGCTTCCAAGGTGCGGACGGTCTCAAATTTGGATTTCGGCTCTCGGACTCAAGGCAAGTTGGGGTTCACGAGCTCGGGGATCAACAGACTGAAAACCAAAACTACCAAACCTTGAGCTCCACGTAGATTCTTCAGCGCCGCCGACAACCTCAAAGCGCTCGAACCACCAAACCCCTGGAACCTCCCTCTCGGGCCGCGACTTTCTCGCAGACCGGCCGCTTTCGCATTTTATCGGGCTCGCTGGGGGGCGGCAGCACTACCTGACCAGAAGCCAAAATTTTCCGGGTGCTTCGGCTTGGGAAGCTCGTCTTTCGACTTTCGACACGCAGACTTTGCCGGACGAGGCACAATACAAGTTGTGCACTTCAGCCACTTCGAAATCTTGCACAAATGCTTCCACCGAGTACATCGGCACACAAAAAGCCAATGACGGATCATCACCAGACAGACAACGAGGACTGCAGTGATGTCACTGCAAGATCACCTTCCAACAGAGAGGCTCTCTCCATGGCATGGCTTGACCGAAGATAGTCTTTGACTGGATCTTCGGCACATGCTGTCAAATCACCTGCACATGCATCACATTCGAAAGCGGAAGCAAGTAGCCAAAATTGACTCGAAGATCCTGTCTCTGGGCAGCTCGCCCGAACTCATGGCAGCTGCCATTGGCACATCTTCCATCCGTCCTCTCGTGGCTACAGTGTCGGACATACGATAAGGCCTTGATCCGGGATCTTGGAAACTTGGACGAATTGAGATGAAAACCTCGCTTCCATTCACCAGAGCCATGTCCCGGCTCGGGGTTAAAATCACTTTGGTCTCACACCACCTCCAATGCCCGACCTCTATCCGCACTCCAAACTTTCTGAGCGCCAGGATCGTCTCCTCCGTGGCCTTCTCTTCCGTCCCAGGGTCAAAATACTTGCACACAAACAGCAGAGACTCCACCAAATTTATGGGATGATCCTCCAGGCCTGCGACCGATGTCGATACATCTCGCCAGCATGCGAAGGCGAAGTGCCGGGAGGCCGTGTGCATTTCTCTTCCCGTCCTATGATCGCCATTGTCTGCGTCCAGTTGCCGATCAAACCTAGCAATGTGCTGGATCCGTGGCTCAGCATTACGAAACTCCTGAAGGAGTTGCACGGTCTCAGCGTGCGTCCAAGTCTTCGTACGCCGAGGACTGCAGCAACCTGCGGACTCTGCCTGGGCCGCGATCCCTCTCCACCCATTGCATGAAGCAGTGGAAACCATAGCTGAAGCAGGGGCCAGCCCAGCCGCTGCTGTCAGACATTATCTTCGGCAGGCACGACAGGAAGATCACCAACACGAAGCCGTCGACAAGACAAAAGAAAAAGACACCCTTGTAACAGACCTTGGCTGATGCTTTGAGGATTCCTGCATGCAGGAACGGCCTTCCACCTTCCGACTCGGGCTCTGTGTCTGGGGAGCTGCTCATGGCTCGACTTGGAACGGTCTGCTTGTCTATCTCCACCAAGGTGGTTTTCTTCTGTGGAGCAAGCGTTAAACTCCTACTCTTCACCCTTCTCAACTTAACCCGAAACCCTGCCCGGCTTCTTCCTCCTCTTGATGTATTTGGTAACTGCAGACGAAGACAGAGCGAAGATGATGGCTAGAAGTTTGCATCAGTAGAATCCCAGTAGAGCAGCATGGAAGGAGCCCGGATCTGCACCACACACTCTCAGTCAAAACCCCATGAAAAGCCCCGTCTTCGACTCTTCACCTTCGATCGCCTGCACTCCGTTCTCTCTCCAAGGAAGGAGCAGCCCGGTTCCACGAGACACGCTGAGAGAATGCAGGAGAGCCTCACGGCTCTTCGGCATTGAGTGGCCCTGCGTGCGACGGAGAGTCTGGGAGATTTCTTGAGTCTAGGGCCCTAGGGTCATGCCAGATATGCCAGGCCTTCGCAGCCGGCAGGGCATCCCTGCACAGGGGAGATGGCATGTGCCAACCACTAAACCCCAGACCCAGCAAGACAAATGCCTTCAGCAAGAACCGTGTCAAACACACCAGTCGCCAACCGAGCTTCAACGCTTTCGGGGCGCGCACGGACACAGGCGAGTACGGCGTGATCGAATGCAAAGGGGATCGCCCGAGCCTCCATTGATGACCCATGTTCCTCGAGAGGTCGTCGCTGCCATGCTCCTCGTCACCTTGGTGGGAAAGGAGTCGCTGAGATCAAACCTGATCGCGCCCAGAAACCAAGGACTTTTTAAGCGTTGCCTCACCTACCCTGAGAAGAAAACCTGGAATTGAGAAATGCCGCTGTATCGCCTCATGGACAGCAACTTTGGCTGCCGAATCAGACAAGCCCTTCATCACGGTTCTAGAAGGAGGATTGCGATTGTGCTGGACAGATGCTTTAGACAAGGAGTGCTCTACCAAGACTAGTCATCCGAATGATAAACAGAAAGCAAAAGATTCACGAGCCTGCTAACCGGCGTAAGATTCACGAGCTTGACCGGCACGTATGAAGAAAGACTGGCCACTCAAATGTCGGGTTACAACCCTGCCAGAATCCCGTCCCCTTTGCAGTTGCAAGCCGTGCACCGCCCGAAACGAAACCCTCAGAAGGACACTGCTTCTGACAACCAATTATCGGAACTCAACTCGAGTGGCTCAAAAACGCTGCCAAATCCTCACTTTCGCCGGCCATGTTGGACTGTTCTGAGGACCTCCTGCAGTTTCTTGTGTGCATCGGCTCTGTGTCAAGATAGCAATGGCAAAAGCCACAAGAAGGGTAGTGCAACGGTAGCAGCAACAGCAACAAAGGTAGCTGTGGCAGTGGCGGTGGGGATGGTGGTGGCGGTGGCGGTGGCGGTCGTGGCGGTGGTGTTGGCCGCGGCAGCGCTGGTTGGCGTCGTCGTCGGCGCTGCATCTGCATAGTCGCATGACGCGACGTATTGCGAAGACCCACAGTTCCACGTTCAGCAACGCTTCGAAAAAGACAGTTGTTGCTGTGCCCGGAGGCTTTGTGGCTTAATCTATAGTTGCCATGAGCAGTGCTGCATACTCAACATGTCAAATGCGATACACAGGCCACAAGAGCTGGGTCAGGAGACGTTGATCTTATGCGCGTTGGAGCAACTGCTTCGTCTTGCCAAAGGGCCGAACAAGGGATTCCAGGTTGCGCTCGTCTGTTCTCGAGAATGTTGCGTTTATCTACGGTCCAAGAACCGGAGGAGGGTGGAAGTTGAAGCTATCCATTTAATCCAATGGTCCGATGGGCTTGAGTGAAGCCTGGGTCGAGCCCCGAACTTGACCGAAACGCTGAACCTCAACTTTTGAGTACGGACGTATTATAGCCGCGGTCCTTGCCGAAAGAGATGCGGCTTTACACCTTGGATCAGCATGGAGACTTTGCACCTCATGGCATCTACTATAAGACTTACCAGGGGGTTTCGCGTTTGGACCTGTTCGAAATTCGGGCCTGGCGTATATGTAGAAGGTGGATGATTCTTGAAACAAGCCTTCTGTGACATGAAGCAAGAACCGGTCTCAACCCTAAGCCAACAAATCCTGACCCCGGGACCTTCGAGATCCTGAAGTTCTGAAGCCACCCCGGCTTCTCATGACCCTGTTCGCCCTGCGCATGTTGGGCGTGCGCATGTGCCTGTGCCTGTGCATGCACGCGCAGGACAGATTACAGAATCAGCAGTACAAATCCCATAGCAAGCCTGAATCAAGACAGGTTGCACTCGGCCCTTGCTGCCAGAACGGGAGCGAGAGCTCTCATGCGAAGCAGAACCCATCTGAGGTGAGTCTTTCGGGGTGAAGGATAGACGTGGGGCTCTTTCGAACACAATGGTGGTATCATTCAGTGGAATTGTGTTAAAACAATTCGTGGCCTACTAACTGCACCCCCAGATAGTGATGCCGAGCCCTGTCGAGACAGGCGCAGGCCTGCACCGCGCATCGGTACAACTGCTACAAAAAGCAATGTTTTTCGTAAAACTTGTCTTTGCTGTTGTTCCTACTACTAACCGCAGTGGTAGTGGTAGTGAAAGTGGTCGTGGTCGTGGTGGTTGTGGTGGTGGTGGTTGTGGTGGTGGTGGTGGTGGTGGTGGTGGTGGTGGTGGTGTCGGTGTTGTTGCTGTTGCTGCTGTTGCTGCTGTTGTTCTGTTGTTGCTGTTGTTGCTGTTGTTGCTACT